TGGCTTCTCTGGGGAGCCAGCAGTCCTCACTGTAGGGAGGGGGAGTGCTCACACAACAGGCAGCCCAAGATGGCTGCTGCCCCACCCCAGCTGATTGGCTGCAAGGGCTGTCCAGTCAGTGGCAAGGGGTAGGGCAACATGACAGATAGCCCTTGCAGCCAATCAGCAGTGATGGGTGGGGCCACCAAGGCCCCTCGGCCAATCAGAGATGGGGGGGGCTGTCATGCTCTGCCCATGAAAATGACTGTTGGGCCCATATTTTCTCTGCGAAATTGGCTGGCCTTGAGTTCCATAGGTCCCTAGGCATGAGTGACTGGGAACCGATTTATAAGAGAACAGAAGTTTGGCACATGCAGACCGGTTTATAATGGCAGAATCTGGTCTAAGGTTGCCTTCCCTCCCCCACCCAAAGGGCGAATGTGTGTTCTGTTTGCTACTGATCTAAATTATTCTGCTTACAGAAAACTTCATAATTTAGTTCAATTCCACCTTGGGCTTTTTAAATGTCTGTACCTAGCTGTAAAGAACTGTTGGTATCATTATCTATTTCTGTTCTTAAAAAGGAGTAAAAGTTTGAACACAGTCTTGGTGTCAATAGATGAGTACCTTTAAACTGTTACTAGCTCTCTCTGTCTCAGTTATGAGCAATCAGGTGGTAGTAATTAACAGTCCATGGAGAAAAACATCTGCAAGTACACTTAAGCCAGTTAGTTTGTCTTTCATGAAAGAATGGTATTTCACAATTTTTCCAAGTTAATATTTTTCCTTTATTGTCTTTCCAATCTCAAATGTTATCCAGACATATTTTTATAGTGTCTTAAGGTTATAGCAGTGGATACAAACCCATTAATAATGAACAAGAAAAGAGAACATTATAAGGAAACATATGCAGTATTTCAACAAATGCAGCATTCTGTTAGGGAACATTGTGTGTGACAGCATATGGTTATTCCCATGAGAAGTAATAAAAATACATTTTTTTCAGTTGTGGATTTTCATAACAAGGGTAAGTTTCCATACGCGTGTGTACGCAGTGTGTTTCTTTTGTGAGGGCCCTGTTAACTGAGTAGGGAAGCAAGTGAATATTTTAGCACAGATGATATAATGTATGTAGCCCTATTTCTGATGGCATAAACACTGAAAACATGAATCTATTAATTTTCCACCCTCCTTCATGATAGAGATCTAGTCTGGTCCAGTTTAATATCATTGGCAAGACTGAGAGGAAGTTCACATTGTGAATATAACTGAACTTTGGCATGCTGCTCTCTGGCAGATCTCTGTTGACAAGGCTGCCAATTTTAACTGTCCCCAGCAGACATTCACATTTTATTTATAAATAAATACAACATGTGTGCCTCCTTCATGAAACTGAGCAACAGACACCAAAGGATATCATCATTCAAGAGTAAGTACAGAAATAAAAAGCAAAGCACATAGTTAAGGATCTGGTTTCAGACAATACAGTAGAAACAAATATTCCAGAATAGGTTATAAAACAGTTCGTTGTCTATCCATGTTTGTTTGTATACATTTATATAGAGAAAATCCATATATGCATGCATCCAAACCATGTATATTATATTATTTAAAGTCCTTTCATTTAGAGCTTTTTCTATTTTTTCTTGAATGAAACATTACATTGGGATAAGATCATTTGGTTTCCCTATTCTGTCAGAGCTCAGAATTGAATAATTGATTTCAAAAGATAATTCCTTGGAGCAGCAAATCGAGTGAGCAATCTGGCGCAAGGGTCAGCAAAGGTCGAAGGGAATATATTTTGACTTACTAACTCTCTCAAGGAATGTATTACAAGTTTTGCTCCCTCCCTCCCTGATAGCTGAACTCTTTTAATTTTGAGGAATCTAATTTGTCAGAACAGATCTTTTCCCTGTTACATAAATTATACATTTAAGTGAAAGCTTCCTATCTGAACATACATACTATACATCCAGAAAAGTTATTAAGCATAATGCTGGAAGTGTAGCTCTTGAAATCAGAAAGTAACTCTGTGGCATTGGCTCTGTTCTCCTCTCTGATCCACCCAGAGAAATGGAGTCCTAATATTCTTCACACATGTGCAGAACTTTTATTCACGAAGCAAAAGAGCATAGTACCAGAGTCGAGAGAATAGAGGTAACCTATAGAACTCTTCACTCTTCTGGCAGAAAACCTACAGGAGGAGTTTTGGGGACAGAAACATTCTCTTTGTGAATATTCCCCCTCTTCTTGTTTTTCAAGAGTAATGTCAAAAGATGCAGTCCTTTTCCTTTGGTTGGGGAAAGGTGAGTCCCAAAGATATTTCACTAATTTATCCATCCTGCTATAGTACTTAATGTATGGAATGCTAAAGTACATGTTTCCCAGGGTCTGCCCCTGGTTCTAAAGCCAAGATACACGGGATTTTACACAGACACAGTTTAGTTAAAATACGTCACCATACGGTGCATGCATTATTCCCACGGGTGGGCAATTACTTCCGCAGATAGTTGCGTTAACGTAAGTGGAACTACTCACTATGTGGAATAGGGCTATTTCAGTCAGGCATCATAGGGCTAAGGATATCCATAATTCAGGTACTGATAGCATAGTCCTGCGTGTTACTGAGATCCATATTACTTTCCCATGTATGGGTGTTCTTCAGGTGATGTCACAGGGGTTAAATGTAGGTTTGTTCAATGACTTAAAATGCATATCTTCAATTTTTAAAATTCCTTTTAAGTGGTACCTTAGCTTTGAATTGCCTAGCTTTCCAATGTAATACGTTGTAAGAAAATCACAATAAAGAATATAGTCTCTAGGTTTTTGTTCTTTCTTAGAAGAACACAGGTCTGGATTATTTTTTTGTAGATTATTGTTCTCCACCTTGCTCCCTTATTTAGGCACTGTAAACAGAAAACCCCTGCCCTTACATTACAAATATGGACCGAGGCAGACACAGAGAAGTGACGAGACCTGGGTAAGGTCGCACAAAATCAGTGGCAGAGCTAAGAACTCAATACATGTCTTGTGTCTCAGTTTACTGTCCAATCTTGTAGACCTCGTGACCTTGACATTTTCAAGAATAAAACATTCTCTTCAAGGTTTTTCTTGAAGTGAACCTTTCTTCTTTAAAGCCTTAATTTGCTTGGTTATCATGACTACATCTCTATCTTAGACATTTGTAGAGCATTAATCTTTGTGATAATTTAAGTATAGTGTGTGTGTATGAGAGTAGGTGCATAGTAAATTCTGCATGTGTGCGTCTCATGAAGCTGACATTAATACAACATTGAAACTCCAAAATCAAATGTGTAAGCCAGGAAATTCCAAAGCTTAAGGTTTCTACCTCATTGCTAACTTGTTTTTACTGTACAGCCGATACATTTTACAGTAAACTAAAGGTTTAAAAATGGAAGCAGTACTACAATAATGCATAAATTTATCAGAGAAACCCAGACTAAAGTGGTACTTATGGGCAATGTGGCTGAGTTTTTATTGTGATAGAAACCTTAGCTTTTGGAATTCTGAACTTTAAATATGTTAAGAAAAGGTTTTGAAAATCAATTTTCCTGTTTTCTTTGTTAAAGAAAATGTCCAGGGCAAAGCAAAGAATGTGATTAAGTTGCTTTACTGATACCTTTGTTTTCTTGGGGTAATTTGTATGGCACCTCTGTAGTGCTGTGTATCTTCAGTGCTAGCTACATAGCTGTTTTAACAGCGCAGCTTTAAATGACACATTCTAAATTGAGGGAGGTCATTTTCTGCTTTACAACAAACATGTCTTTTGCTAAGCAGATACTTAATGATGATATTTCTAATCTAGGCATTCCTAAGAAAAAGGTTCTTAAATGGAAGTAGATTAAATGGATTGGTTAAAGCAGATGTCCATGTATAAGTGAAACAGTGCTAACATTAAAGGGCATATTCTTACCTAAGCCTCTTGACAACATATGCGTGTGTAGATAAGAATATAGATATCTAGTATTTGCACCTGCAGTTAATTGTAGGCATAAAATATCAGGCAAGACTATCTGCCAGTGGAAAATTTCATGGGAAAATTGAAGGCTGTTGCTGAAGATGTGACCCTGAATTTGCAAAAGTTAAAACACTCATGGACGATGCTAATATGCTACTATCCAATATTATTAGTCTACTGCTCAGTAGGATCACTAAGGAAAGGTGTTCACTGGCACTATTGCACAGTAACTCTGGTTACTGCGTGTTTATTTAGTACTTGATTATACAAGTACTAAATTAAATGCACAGTAACCACTGCACATTAATGAACGTGTAGACGTGCCCAGTAGATGCCTCAGACTTGAAAGAGAAGTAATTGGGCTTTGGTATAGTCTTACCTTCCATAAACAGGACTCTGAAACATGCTAGTGTTTAAGCTTTTCACAAGTGTTTTTAAGTTATGCTTGTGCAAATAGTTCAGTCTGAACATCTTGGGAAAGTCTCCTTTATACTTGCGTACCTCAAAAAGTTGGTCAAACTTTTTTGAAAATATAAATCAACACATGGCTCTAACCAGCGTAGAAAGTGTTGTCTTAGGAGGAATTTCAGAAAGTGTTTTATGAGTTTTTGAAGAAGGAGGTTGGCATAGAAGAGAACCATTATTTCAGCTTTAGTTATCTTATTTTCTTCTAGTGAATTCTGTTTTTGAAAGTTGTGGTTCTGTACTGTTTTGCAAAAAGACAGACAGAAATATACAACAAATTTACAGTAATGTTTTGAGTCAGTTTGCACTGTCAAAATGCTATGTGAACTTGATGCAAAATCTATTAACGTGTACTTGAGAGAAGAATTGCTAGTAAAGTGTCCATCAAAATGAGCATAAGTATGTATCGGATTCAAAAGCAAATTGAATTTAATAACATCTCAATCATAAAAATCTGCCAAAATCAAACTTGATCCTAAATACAATGAAACTTTTCTAACCAAGGGATCTGACTTGATGTGCTGTTAGATGACTTTGGCGGTTCCTTCTAAACTTTTTTAATATATTATTTTTGCAGTGGCTTTACCTCCAGAGAAGACAGATGGAGTTTGCAGTGGAGATGAAAAGAAAGCAGAAAAAGAAAATGACACACGTACAAGTTCCAAGAAGCAACTAAAATTTGAAGTAAGTTCCTTGTTTTCCAGGGTTGCAGTTTACAGATACAGTTAAGTCAGATAACTAGTCTGTGGACAAACGGTGCCCTCTGGAACATTTATGCAGCTCCCATTGTTTATAATGGGAGCTATGCATATGTCTCAGAGAGCAGGATTTGGCTAATCATCTGTATTTCCTACTGTCAGTGCATTGTTTCTTAAAAGATGGTTTGCAAGTTTTGTTCCTGAGGTCAAATAAAGCCAAATGATGGTGACCTCTCAGGAGGATCCAAAGTGCACAGTAAGGGAGAGCTGTTTTCTCTTAGTTCTGTACTTTTGATCCTTTCAGATGTATTTCTTGTGCCACCCACTATGTTATGAAATTCTTTTATTGGCTTTCATGGACTATCATACTCAGCTAAATGTGCCTGATGTAAAAGATGTTTGTGAAAGATGCCTTAGCCATCAGTCTCTCATGTCTGGGTTTCCAGAGTGAAATAACCTTGACCCTACTGTACTGGCAGTTCATCTGATTAGATGGTGGGAGGAAAAGGATCCTGCAGGGAATGAGTCTGATGGCCTAGTTCCTTCTAGACTTAAAAACATCATAAAACTGCCAGACATTGTGCCTAGCTGGCAGGTTTTGCTTATAAAGAGAGAGATTTAATAAATATGAGCACTGAAACATGCTGTCATCCGGCTAGAGGGTTGTCTGTCTTGGCAAATAGGGAGGTACACTGGTACTGGGAGAACAGCATGCATTTCATCTTTTCGTGCTACAGCAGACATGGCAAACTTCTGCCTTTCAGTGCTGTCAGTCTGTCACATTAATGAGCTTTGCATTCGTCGATTATTATTTGAAAAACTATCTAGCCACCTTGTAACTAAAACATTCATCTGCCTCTCTACAGAAGGTTCAGCACTCTTGTGCAAATTACTTTTTGCTGTTTTAAGGACGATTCAATGGAGCAAGCTTTTCCACAAACATTCTGGTGTTTCTGTGTGCTTATTCACATTGATGGATGGCTTCTTTCCCTCTTTTTTCAGGGGAATAACACTTTAGGCAAATTTTCAGTTCTACCTTGATTAATACATGTGATTTTGCACACATGAAAAGCATGATAAATTACAATTAACAATGCCTTGATGCTTGAAAAGTTGGAGGACACCTGTCAACATGGCTGATGCCAGCTAAGCTGGAACTGTACCATACTGGCAAAGACTGTGTTTGTTCCCAAGTAGTTCTTGGCATGCCATAAAGGTTAGCACTTGGTACCAGGCTCCATGACTAATGCAGGGAAGACTGCCATGTTATTAACTGAGTAGTGCACATCCTCACATAAAGATCTTATGTTAGGCAATGTGGGACAGGGAACTATTAATATGTGGCAAGAAACCAAGTATTGATATTTTTTTTCTCCTTGTTCTCCAAATCAAAGCTTTCTAACCATGTAAGGTAGGGGCTGAGAGAATGATAAATGCTTTTATTTTATGACCAGGTAGAAAAGAATCAGAAATGCGAGTGTTGAGACAAGAAGTCTAAATCTGAGGTGGATGTGATTTGGCTTCTAAAGGTGCTGGGGATGTTTGTGTAATATGAAACTGTGTTTCCACAGTAGAGTGTGGGGCACTTGGCAGCTTTCAGAAGGGCTTGTTACAACTAAGAGAAGACTGCCTTTGAACTCAGCAGGGGATGGGGGTACCGTTAACTGCTGTAGGGAATTGGTTTCAAGTCAGCAGATTAACCAGGTATTTTGAGCTCTATCATGCTGAAGCTATTTGGAGCTGTTTATTTTACTTGAGTACAGTGGCTTTTATTTTAATTGCACTGTAACTTTTGTGTTTGCCTTGTTGTGACTCTGGATGACTGATTGTACAGATCTTGAGAAAACAAGTGGCTTGTAACTAGGTGATAAGAGTAGAAATAAGTGCACCTTTTGTTGGTTAGGATTTTGTTTTGGTTGGTTTTTAATTGATTCTTGCAGGCTTTCTTCTAATCACATTCTTCCTAGATGAAACACAGTTGAAATGAGGATCAGGCAATGTTACCTAGGTTATTTTTCTTACCTACCAATTCCAAATCAGGTTCAAGTTCAGTGACTTTAGTGGCGTGATGATGTCAAAGGGTTGCCAAAATTGATATGGCGTATCAAGTATCTGTGTCAAGGGCAGGTTTCGTGGGTGGGGTTAATACCATGCGTCCATTTTGTAGTAATTACCACTTCTGATTCAATGGCATATTGTTTCACACTGTGAGTCTGTTTCTGTTATCCCTTTCTGTTCTCCTTCAGTTAAGTGGAGTTTTTCTTTCTCACCTTTTTAATGGGAAACCTTATTATATTTTCAGAGCTTCAAGAAGTAGCTTTCTTGTACTTTTGTATTTTCTAGACCAAAGTAGAAAGCATTTCTCAGTATCCCAGCAGCTTAGCTCAGGGGAATTAGGAAAAGAACCTTATTGTCAAGAGACTCCTTCTGTGCAGAGGACAGAGGGTTGCTGCCAGGAACAAATCCTGAATGCCTTCTCCCACGAGAAAGGAAGGACTAAAGAGAGCAGCTTCTTTTTACAGAGAGGAGTTAGCCTCCTCTGCAAATAGGCCTTTTGCTTTAGGTAATCAGTTGCTCTTTGCATGTTTCTTAGGAATTGCAATGTGATGTGTCTGTAGAGGAAGATAACAGGCAAGAATGGACCTTCACACTGTATGACTTTGATAACAACGGAAGAGTCACACGTGAGGTAAGCAAAGTAAAGCTGCCCCTCTCCGTGCAGCATTTGCTAACAAAAGTGTATTATAACAGGAACATTTTTTCTCCAGTGAAATAAAGGTGTCCTGCCAACTTAAACAGCAGTTTCCATGGACCCTTCCCTTCCAGAAACAGCCCCACCAGTAGTTTACTGTTTTCAGGATTACTGTACCACTTGTTAAACTGGTTGCTGTTTAATGTCTGGGCTTAGCCTTTAAAAAATAGGACCAACATTTTGGGGGGGGGCAGGGTCTGAAACAACTGGATCTCCAAAAGTGTTGTCAAAATAAACCCCTACAGACATATATTGGTCTGGCTCCTGTCCTGCTTTTCAGAGTTAAGCTAACCAAATGGCAAGGTTGCTTTTTGAAATTCTTTCCAGTAGTACTAACTATACTAACTATTTCTTGGGTGTTGGGCAGAGATCCATGCTGCCATCTCTGTCATAGTATAGGTTATCTCTGATAGAGTTTGTGAAACCTACCACAGGCTCATAATGGATAGCTCTCAATAGAAAGTGGATTCATGTTGGTATTGTTAGGATTCATTCAACTTGTATTTTCTAGGTAAATAAAAAAACCAAAAATCCTCTTCCCTTATAAGAATGGGGACCAGTGTACAGTCCTCTTCAAAAGCTTACTAACCAAAATAAATCACATTTCAGTGAAATGCCATACAGTGTGCTGTCACTGGTTCTTTACAAGGCTTGTTTCGTCCCTGTGTCTTGAACTGGTTAACCGAAAGTTTGTAATCTTCATTCTCCATCAGCTTGGAAGTTGACACCTATGAAAATGAGTAAGAACTGAGTAAAAAGCAGTAGCATAAATACTGAAAATGTGGTGGTACTAGCCAGAAAATAGCAGTAAGATTTTTCTTCAGGAGGAGAACAAACCTCTTTCTGAACTTTCACATTTTTCAGCCAACCACATTAAAGGACTACTAATATTAACACTTACTGTTTTTATTATTTGCATTATGGTAGCACCTAGAGAGGACTGAGATGAAATTGGGGTGCTCTGATGTTAGGCATTTCTACAAACACATACAAAGAGACAAGCGTTGCTTTGAAGAGCAAGGATTAACATCTGAAGTGGTGAGATAGAAGCAGAGTAGAGTAAAAGGAAGTGCCATTCTGTGTTCTAGATGGAAAACCAAGGCACACAGAGCATAACTGCTTTGCCCAGAGTCATGCAAGATATCTGCAGTAGAATCTGAAATTGAACCTTGGTCTTCTGAGCCTAAACCTGTGCCTGAAGCACAAGAACAACCTGGTTCTCAGAAGTGGAAAAGCTGCTCAGGGTGTCCCTTATACCGAAGCATAGGATTCCTATTAATGTCAGTGGGAGTTCCATGTGTTGAACATACAGAGAATATGCTTTTAAGTATGTACACAATAATTATTTGTGATTATGTGGTACACCAGAGAGCTTAATTTGAATATACTTAGAGCATGTGTTACAGCCAAATTTTACCTCTGCCTTGCTATAAGAGTAGACTGCAGCTTAACTGAAACCAAATCTGTGCAGGGATTGAAAATTATACTACTCTGAGGTCTGGGGCTTGCTATATTTGGTTCTGAATCTGTGCCAAAAAAATTCTTTCAGACCAAGAGACCAAGCAGGCTGATAATTTCCATCTCTTCCCATATGGTCAGGACTAGGAACAAATGTGTATGCCATTGAAAACTTTCCAGTTGTGTCTGACACTTGTTTTCCAAGGTTTTGAACCTAAAATTGTCATTTGAATTATTCACTTTTCTTTATTGAATACATATATGTTTACATGAACAGGTACAGATAGCTTTTAGCAAGCACCAAATATTAGTCTCTAAGAATTTTAGTTTTGAAATGATGTAGAGCTTCTCAGTCCAATGATTTTTGGGTTATTGCCTATCAAAAAAAATTTGAATTCTACCATCTTCTGAGTATTTTTCTGTGGACCCAACAAAACACCTAGCTTATGCTCAATATGAAATGGACCAGTAGTTCCATTAAATTCACCGGACACAGCTTAAGTACTTTGCTGAGTTCACAGGCAGGATGAGCAACCCATTGCAGCATGAAGCCCACAGTGAGAAAGATTGTTGCCTATAACAGTGCCCACTTGGAAGTAAGTGAAAGGTTAAACATTTAAATAATAAGTAAATTTATACCAGTAATACATTACTGCTTAACATTTAGCGTGGGGTGCAGTCCGTTGGGAAAGGGAAGTGGCATGGTGCCTCAGGAGCAGCAAGGCAACAAGGCAGACAGGAGAAAGGGAGGGAGACGGGCAAGGGGAGACTAGTACCCATAGGTAGTCTGCTCCCTCCCTCCCAACGCACCAGTGGCTGCAGCAGGCTGGGAAAGCCCCTTGCCTGCTACTGCCACCCACTGCTTCACATGGGCTGTGTTGCCTGGCAGGACTCCCCACTCCTCCATCAAAGGCCCCAGGGAATGGCTCCCAGCAGCAGCTCTGCCCAGATGGATCTGTTCATGGTCCCTGGCTCTGGGCAGGTGGCTGCAGCCCCTCTCCTGTGGTGAGGCAGGGCAGGGAAAGCGCTTGCCCGTGGCTCCACACCCCCTGGCTGGGATTAGGTACGTGTTATCAGTTAACCATATAACTGATATAATTAGAGGAGGTTAAATGCATAAAGTGTGCTTAAAACAATATTTACACCCATACTTGGCAGACTAGGACAAATGCTGTCAGGACCCAGGAAGTTTTTCCAAGCAACAGAACTGAAGCAGTGATTAAAAAAAAAAGCAAAAAAAATCCCAAACAAATGGAAAAAAAAACATTTGGAGTTTGCCATGACATTTTGATAGGAGTAGCTCTTGGATTCCCTGTTGAATTAAATGAGGTAAAATGTCCTTTCCTTATGGAAAATATAACAACAATAATTGTTACTGTATATCCTGTTTTTCATCAGTAGATCTCCAAGTGCATTACAAAGAGAGTTAAATAATGTTATCCTGTTTTTCTTATGTGGAAACAGAGGTATAAATAGGGTGACCATACATCCCAGTTTGGCTGGGACGGTCTCAGATTTCATCCCAGCATCATAGCCGGTTAGCTAAAAGTGTAGCAAAAGCTCCAGACTGGTGCCATGCCGTCTGCACATGCCCAGCCTGGCTCCTCCTGAGCAGCAGCTGGAGGCTGGGGGGTGGGCTGGACTGGCCTGAGCACCCTTCCTACTGCCTGGGTGGGAATTGGCAGGGGCAGAGTGCACCAGAGAAAGGGGCAAGGGCTTGGGCACGTGCGTGGGGCAAGCTGGATCAGCTTGGATCAAGCCTGTCAGTTTGGATCTCCTTCCTAGGACAAGATGCCTATATTTTGGGCGTTGCAATATGTAAGTAAAGACATCTACAACCTTAATTTGGATTTGACTTTCTGTTCTTTTGAGTGTCCAACTCAGACACTTTAAAAAGTTAGATGTGAAAGAACTTTAAGGCTTCTTTGGGGTCTTGGATTAAGCCCACTGAATTACTAATTATTTTTAAAGCTTGGGCCTTATCTCTAAGATCTTTTAAAAAGATATATACAGTGTTAAAATGAACCTAACACAAAGCATTTAGATGGAGTCCAGTTTTTGTTGATGAGATATGATTTTGATGCAAAAATGTTTAGTATTTATCTGAAAAATTCTAAAAGCAGCACAGATTTGGTCACTAGATAAAATTTCAAGTGTATTAATAACAAATTTCACAAGAGAGTTCAAGTTCCATCCCAGCAGAATTTCCTCTGCATCTTAACAATGTCTTTTGAACTGAAAGTATCTATGATTTCCTTTTTGAGTGTTATGGTTTATTGCCTGCTCTTTACAATTAGAAATTTGAATATAGCCATGCTTCTATGAAGTGATATGACTGTGTTTCAAAGCATAATTGATGGAATGGCATATTATAAAATTAGCATTCGATAGCTGTGCTTAGGATGCTGTACTTAATGTGATACAAGACAAACATTTTATAGTTCTTTTGCTGTGTGTGAAGATAGCTTTCTAGTTCTAATGTGTATATTAAAAAAGTTGTCTAATAATGTTTTCCTTCATTCCATAGGCCATTAAGAGTCCAATTCATTATGTACTGTAAGCTTTTTGAGAACTGACAGCTGCATTGTAATTATCTTCACATGGATATTTGTAATCATACTTGAAACTTGGATAATTGAACTAATTTGTTGTGATCTGGGAGGTTTTATATTGAGTTCTCTGAATATAATTTTACTTGAGAAATGACACCCTTTTATTTTCCCTTTTATTAATATCTGTTCTTTCCCATGAAGCATAATCCCTTCAGAGGGTAGTTACAGAGTTCTAAGTATTCAAGAGCCTTGGTTGTTAGGAGTTAAAAGTACTAGTGTTTTTAGCCTGGATGCTGATTGGTTACCAAATGATGTTCCTTCCAGTTCCAAATATGAGCATTTCAAAAATGTAAATGAGTATAAAAAATTGATGTTGCAATAAAGAACCCTACTGTATGTAATGCTGGCAAAACCAAGCTACAAGCAAGCTTCTAAATAAGACACTTGTACTTTCTCTTTCAGAGGGAAAGGGAAAGAATTGATATTTAAGGTTTTTCTTAATCTGTATTTAATGCTAAAAGTGTTCCTTAAATCTTGTTTTAAATACCCAATTTATTTATCTTGTTCCATTTTTTTTGTGTCCATCCTTGTACATATTTCTCTTGCCAGAAGAGGAAAAGATTATTAGTTCTTTCTGTATTCAAAACTCAGCCCCAGACTTCTGTTCAGCAGTAACACTCAAATCTCTGGCCTAGAGAAAAGATTGAAGGAGGATTCTGATTTCTTTCAGGCTGGGACTTAATTAGGTGAATTGAACCTCAAGTCTTATTCTTGTACCTTGTGGATTTTGGGTTTTTTTACTACATTTGCCACCTCTGTGTAATGCTGGAGCAGTTCCAGTACTCTGAGCAACTGGCAAGAGGGGAAGTGGAGATGGCGCTGGCACTTTCACAGGGAACATCCAGACAATATGATTGTAAAATGGCC